AAACTTCAAGTGTTTAAAGAGCCAAGTATGGTGCTGGGCTGACAAGAAAGGCAATTAAAAGGAAGGGTTTGACTGACCTTGTCAGATACAAAAGTTACATTTCTTGATATATAGGTCTTATCTTTCTTTATCTTGGTCTTATCTATCCAGCAGAAAAGTGTAAAAAGGAGATATAAAAAGTGAAGCCATGTTAATATGCAGAGCTGTGGAAGGCTCAAGACAACAGATTCAGACATTGCCAGTCTTGTGGATAACCCACTACTATTGTGAAGTGCTGGATTACATTGGAACATTTTGCTGAATTCATGCACCTACAATATTTGGATGGCAATGGACTACCCATCTCTGACAAAACTAAACATAAAAAGGAGATATAAATGAAGGACAATTCTGTATCTGTATATACAAAATTGTTAGGATAGATAGCCACTTTCTCTTACTTCAATAAGAAGAAAGATTTGTACTAATAGTGTTTGGACAGGATATCATGTTGGCATCTTGAGCTATGAATGACTATTACAAAGACAACAATATGCAATGTATTAATTGATGTAACTCTCCTACCAACCTGTTTTGCAACTGTCTCATTGCAATATCTTTTTCAATAAAAATAAAAAACGAAGGGTTTGCAGGTCAGGGGAGGAGCAAACCCATCAAAGCATTTGGCTACAAGCATCAGAAATAATCTAATTGGGACTACATAAGCAGGAAAGAAACTTTCTAGTAAGATCTCAGGATACTGATAAAATTAATGGCCAGTTTGGAGAAGTAGACTCTGAAAACCACCAGTAATCCAAGGATGCTGGGTAGCAGGAATGATCAGCCAGCTTGCTTTGTCACTATGAGGAATTCCCAATGCTCATGATCATCAGAGGAGGGCATGGCTGCACCAAAGGCTAGCCTCAGAGCTTACGGACAGGTGGTCACATTGTCAGACATGGCGTGGGAGCTGGCCTCTGAGACTCTTTGCTTGTTTTCTTCACTCAAATTTAAGTCCCTTTCCTGCTAGCCACTTTTCAAACCTCAAGCTTTGCCTTTGTGCTCCAGCTACCAGCATAGGAGTGTTGAGTATTTCTCCTATGGTCTCCATGGTAGAAAGCAGGATCCCCAGACACTGGGAAATTCTCTAAAACTAGCCAGGAACTTGGATGCTAGGAAGCCATGAAATGTCCAATGACCACTGTGGAAGCCCTGAGAAGGAAACGGCAATCAATAGGATAAGCATGCGCTTCTGTTAGTGGTACCCAGTGCCCAGCTATTCCTGAGAGGAGGTGAGCCTGTCAGGGCCCCTAAGGAGAGCTTCAGTGGAAGGGCTATTTCCAAAGCAGTAGACAGAGCAGAGAAGAACCAAAGGTTCAGGAGGTCCGGCAGAGTCAGGCCCCATGACCACTCATAGGCCCGAAGGAGCAAGTCAAAGCTGCAGAATCTGAGTCAGAGAGAGAGAGAGAGAGAGAGAGAGAGAGAGAGAGAGAGAGAGAAAAGGAGAGAGGAAAGAAGGGGAGGGGGGAGAGCCATCAGAGACAGAGATGGAGAGTTGTAGAAGGACAGTCAGTTGACCATGACTGAGGTTCGTGAGGGAAGCTGCCAGTTCACAGTAATGCTATAGAAAGAGCTGGAAAATGAATACCCTGACTCGCCTGCGGCCTGATTCCTTCCTTAGATGTTCTGCTAGCACACTCCATTCTGCGCCCATCTGGGAGCTGGAAGCCACTGATAGAGCTCGCTTGAGTGCACTGCAGGGCACAAAGCAGAGGAAAGGAGGAGAGGAGAGCAGCTGCGGGGAGGAGCACAGCGTAAGCTGTCCTTTCTGGGAGTGGGTGCTCAGAGGACAAATCTCAACTGCTTCTTGGGGGTGGGTGGAGGCTGCACCATGAAGACAGAATAGAATTTTAAGAGGTTTTTTTTTTTTTTTTTTTTTTTTTAGTACAGGGTCTGCAGGGTCTCACTACACAGATCGGACTCATACCTCCCGAGCGCTGGGATCACGCCACTACGCCCAGTTTCAGTTGCTGTGTCAGTGTCAGTGTGCCCTGGGGGTGGGGCTAGCACAGCACACTGGGGATCAAGTCCCGGTCTCTGCATCTGCCTAAGCAGGCACTTTAGTTTGCTGAGCTATTTGGCTGGCCCTTTAAGAGACTTTTATTTTTAAAAGAAGAAGGCATGCTATGACTTTGATCTAAAGTGCTCAGCAAAGGTCAAGTGTTCAAAGGTGGGCCATTGGGGCGATGGCTGGATCATGGGGTGCTGTGCTTGGCAGTGTATTAGTGCACTGGTGAGTTCATGGCCACAGGCGCTGATAGGATAAGGGCCCAGCTGAAGGAAGTGCATCCCTGCCTGCAACCTGTGCTCTCCTGGCTCCTCCTCTGCTCTCAGCTTCCTGGCTGCTGGCTCCTGCCAGGCCCTTCCCCTGCTGTTTTGTCTTGGAGCTAGCTGCCCATGGGACATAAGTCCCTTTGACCCTAGCATCCGAACCATTGCATTCCATATGCATGAGGACTATCAGCCCAAACATTTTTGTTTGGTATGTCAGTTTGCTGGAGATCTCCGAGAGAATGAATGGGGCCTTGGCCCCTTCTTTGATTAAGACAGAAATTGTGAGCCGAAATAAATCTTTTCTCCTTAAGTTGTGGGTGTCAGATATTTTATCCCAGTGCCAGGAAGCTGACTAATTCAAGCCCTTTGCCTGAAAAAAGCTACAAAGTCAGAGGCCCAGGGCTGTATTGAGAAATTGAGAGCTTTGGACATTGTGGCCCCAGATCCTTCTGCTCCCCTGGCTCCTGTTTGGGGGCACCTGCAACTTCTCATGGCTGTGATGAAGGAGTTGTGTTCTATATGATGTCATCAGTCAGGATTTGATCCTTGTGGGGCTTAAGGTAACTGCTTTATCAGCTTGGTTTTAGCCACAGCCCTAAACATGGGCTGGCTGTTTACACTCCCAAGTCAGCAGCCAGTAGAGAATCACCTCTTACTTAAGGTCTGGTTGTCTGAGGACCCTGTTTGTTGGGGTGTGTGCAGCCAGCAGAGGGTTGCTATGGCTGAGCTGCAGGCACTGGGTCTTGTGATCTGGAAAAGCAAATTGTGTATATAAAATGACAGCATTTATTAAAGCAAGATAAACTCAGCAGCACAGGATCTGGCGGGGGGCATAAATTCCTTTGACCCTAGCATCTGAGCCATTGCATTCCATGTGCATGAGGCCTATTAGCCCAAACATTTTCATTAAATATGTCAGTTTGCTGAAGTTCTCTGAGAGAATGAGCGGAGCCTTGGCTCTTCCTTTGATTAAGAGAGAAGTGTCCTGCGTTATGTGGTTCTGACTCACTGCACTGCTCCGTGTGAAGAGACCTGCAGGGTTGGGCAATGAGTGTCATGACTATAGTTGTCAGGCTCAGGCTGGGACCCTGGGTTCTCTTTCTTTTAAGGGGAGCTAGAGAAGGAAGAAAGGAGATATCCTGAACAGACATTCTTTCTAGTTCTAAGAACCCAAGATTGTAGGGACTTGATGAAGATCTAACTGTCTCCAACTTGCAGCCCATTCTCTATCAGCATGGCATCCCATAGCCCAGGGATGGAGAGATTTTTTTTTTATCAGGGAGGAGGGAGAGAGAAAAAACACTGGAGCCAGAGGGCTTGAGTTTAAGTATCAGTTCAGTTATTAACTGGGTAAGTAGAAACAGCAAAGTGTTTGACCCTAGTTATACCCTAGTTATTATAGCTTGTGCTTAGATGTTTCCCCACAGCCTCATGCTGTCATAGGAGGGACTTTGCAGAGGTGGCTGTACCCAGGAGTGTGGGATGCTGGGGTTAAGTGTGTGACACTGAGGTTAAAGGTGTGTGATTAGTAAATTAGTCCACTGATTGGCTTGGCATAATTCTAAGTGTGGACAACAAAAAAACTTACCCAGGGTGTGGGTGCTACGCACCCTAAGGGCAGGCAGCCGGAAGAGCATGAGCTTAAGGCCCAGAGAGGGCTGCTCTTGGCTTCACTGGCTGCCTGCTACTTCATTGCCTTTCTGCCTTCTTCCTGCCATGAGGCATTTCTCCTCTGTGATGTCCCTCTGCCGTGCCACCCTACCTTGGAGCCAGCTGATTATAACTGAAACCTCTATGAACTGCGAGGTACAAGAAAACTTTTCCTCAGCTAACTTTGGGTGTTGGGTATTTTGTCTCAGCAATAAGAAAAACACAAATGAGACACTAATCTATCCCTTAGAAGGTGACGGTGCAGATAGCTTGCGCTTATTAGAGTTTCCTATACATCACGCATCTGGCTAAGTGTTCGCTCAGGTGGCATAATTTACTCCTCAGAAAGACAATGTGAAATAAGAAGCAGGAGTGTTCTCACTTTACAGAAGAGGAAACAGAGGCAGGGAGAAGTTAGGGATCTTGGGAACTCAGAGATTCTGCCTTTGGGGATTTTAAATTTCTATAATAATAAACCCCATCTCATGTACATTATAGGAGTCACAGGTTTCACTAGAAAGCTTTTAAATTCTGAACAGTTAGTTATGGAGAGTGTGAAGGTTAAGGAGAAGCTAATTTTTTTATGTATTTGGTACAAGGCCTACAGGGTCTAACAGGGTCTCACTACACAGATTGGACTCTAGTGATCCTCCTGTTTTCAGCCTTCCAAGTGCTGGGATTGCAGGTGTGCACCACCACGCCCAGTCTCAGTTACTCTGTCAGTGCGCCCCGGGGACAGGGCTGGCACGGCATGCTGGGTATTGAACCCCAGTCCCTGTGTCTGCCTAAGCAGGTGCTTTAATCCACTGGGCTATCTGGCCTGCCCAAGAAGCTAAATTTTAATTTGCTACTTTTTCCATTTTTGTTCAACTTTGTTCAAAAAGGTGCATTTTCCCCTCTGAACCTTTGTCTCTCTTTTCTTCTTCCCTCCCCACTTTTCCTTTTCTTTCCTTTCTAACAGCCTTCCCTTTGTTCACTGGCTTTAGTGGAATTCAGACTAGAAAAAGTAAGGCAAAATAACAGTCGAACTCGAAAGTACTTGTGGTTTTATTAAAAAAAATACAGTCAGGTACAGTCCAGATGTGTTTGGGAAAAGAACAACTCTTTAAAAATCCTTAGTTTTCATCCTCTTCCTCATTATTATATTAATAATATTAATCATCTCCTTGGAAGGGAAACAGTATTGCTTTTCTGTCTTCAGTTGTACGAAATGTAAAAAACGGGGGTCAAATTCCAACAACACACATTTTATCTTTACTAACAAAAATAATGACAATTAATTATATAGCTTTGTTTAAAATACAGCTGGTTCTAGAACAAACTACCACTGTCTTCCCCTCTCCCCTTCCCAGAGCCACCCAAGAGAAGTAAAATCGATTGTGCTGTAGTCACTGGAAGGACTTTGCTGAGTCAAAGGACAAAGCAGAAGCCTGCTGCAGCGTGCGGTCTTCGGTGGGCATGAAGTGGCGCAGAGTGGGTGCTGCCGGGGCCTCTCGGCAGGGGCGGGCCTTGACGCTCGCCCAGTGCCCAGGTGTGGCCGGATGGTGGGCTGGGTGTACTGATACTTTGGTAAAATCCTTTCCTTTCTCTGGGCCCTCTCGTTCTCTCACCCGGGTGTCCCTGGAGTTTATGCCCGTTTGCGTCTGCTTTCTAGATTTCTGAAGTTGCTGGGTCTTAGCTTCATCTCGGCGAACTGGATCGAATATTCATGGCCCTTCCAGTGGAACCAGTTAACTCCCTGTAAGAAAGAAAAGACCCCCGAGTTGGTTTCCATTAAGCAAGGTGGGCGCTAGTCCTCACTGTTTAGTTGTTCAAACAAGAGGAGCTGTGCTCCAGCTTATGCATGGGGTATGACTCGGCGGCTCCTCCGGCCTGCCGGTTGATCTGTGCTGCGGAACTTCCCAGGGGGCTCGCTCGACGCCTTACCGCTGGGCAGAAGTCAGCTGAGTCTGCGTTGAGCTCTCGGCTGCCGTATTGAAACAAAGTGGCAGCAGATAAGCTTGGCTTTCTTAGGACAGGTTTCTGCAGAAGTTCGGGTCCTGACTGGAGATTACAGAGGTGAGTAGCTAAGTGTAGGGTGTGAACGTTGGTACGGATTAGCAGGGCAATCAGAGGTGGAACACAAGCTTTGCAATGTAACCAGCAGGATGCGAATATGCCCAGTGCTTGTGTCCGACAGGCGCTATCACGGTGCTGGGCATTTTGGAGGGGGCTTGGCAAATGCTATTTCTTTAATCTCCAAAAGGGAGAGCGAGCCTTGAAATTCTGCCTCAGACCTTTTTTTTTTTTTTTTTTTTTTTTTTAAACAAGAAAAGACTACAGGCTTCCTGGTTCCATGTGTAGCTCTGTAGAAGGGTCTGCAGATGGCACAGACTGCCCAGCAGGGGCACGTGGTCCTCAGCCAGTGTGGGGGAAGATGAAGGGGGAATTGTCGCCCCCACACTGCTGCCCCCTCTCCCAGCAGGGACTCCTCTTCCCTGTAGCAGTACAGAACCTATCCATTCAGAAGGTACTGGACAGTGAAGTGAGGGGAAAGTAGAGACACATTGCTTGGTTCTTTTGGCATTCACTGGCCTGTGAGTCTGCCAGGTAACTGAGGTCCAGGAAAAGCTGGTTCATTTCATGAGCAAATGCACTTGCAATCACTCAGTTACAGTGAGGCAGTGCAGCCCACCTGCTTGGACCGCATGCTGCTTCCTCTGCGCTCGCTCTTTCTGCTCATAAGCCTTCAGGTTGGGAGGCCAAGCCCCCTCATACTTAGGTGGAGACTGAAGCCAGTGGGGGAAGTGACATTACCGAGATCACACAGCAGACGGAGCCCAGCCAGAGCAGGGCTGAGCTCTTGGGAGTGCTGTGTGGCCTCCTATGTTATCTCTTTCTTCTGAAATTGGATGGAAGGATGGAAAAAGAGGACTTATGTTTGACATGAAGCCTTTTGCTTGGTGTGATTTGTTTTCAGAAAAGTCTTTGTGTTATACTTGTTAAGAGACAGGACAATAAAGGGGATAGAGTAGCATCATGCTCAGGGTGGAAATGGTATTGGGGCAGTGCACTAAGATGGAGAGAACCAGGCCATGGGTTCTTAGTCTCCTTCAGTAGTGTTCTCAGCACCATGGCCCGAAACGCCAGGTCCTGATACCCTCACAGAATGAAGCTGGTGTACACACAAGATTGAGAAGGGGAGAGTTCTGAAAAGCTTTGTCAAGGTCAGATGCACAAGCAAGGTCAAGGCTGTTGTCTGCTGGTAGTGTCTCTAGGCGTAGTCCCAGGTATCAGAATTGCTAGCAATGGAGTGTAGCAGTTCCCAACCCCACTGCATGGCAGGAAGCCCCTGTGGGCCCACCAAGAAAATAATGTCCCCAAGTCAACAGCCAAAGAAGCACAAAACACAAAAGCGGAGCTGCTGTACTGCTGCCAGAGTCATCAAATACCAATCCCTTGGGTTGCGATGTGGGACTTTGGCCACTGCAGCTTTACAAAGCCCCTGGGATTCCAGTGAGAAGATCTGGCTAGAACCTTCAAGGTCCAGGGACCAGAGTGGGGTGGCACTGGGGGAGCACATGTCCCTTGTCTCGGATGTGTATGAGGCTCTGAGCAGAGCCAGGGCAGGAGCTGGCCATGCCTAATGTGCTGATCCCACTCAGCAATACTCACTTCCCAGGCACAGGCTGGTGCAGGCAGCAGGTAGTAGCCCATAGTAAGGGAGACTGCTGGGGTCGTGCAGCTCCTCTGTTTCTAAAGGGGACGTCAAAAACCCACTTCTGTGATTGCAAGGTGGCGCTAGAGTTGTACGTGGTGCAACATTGGGGCTTGGAAGTGGGGAAGTTTATGTCTGCCTCCAAACTCATTCAGAGACCTCAGGCAAGTTAGTTTTCTCTGACCCTTGGCGCTATCATAAAATAATGGGATTTAAGGTCTGTGACTTCATCCTAAGGCATTCTTTGGGTGCTGGGGCCCTCAACTCTGCTTTACCTATCCGGCCTCCATTTTGATCAGCTTTACTTTTGAAGTTCACACAGAGGGTGTATCTAAGGACAGCTTTCTAAGCCTAGAATCCTTCTGACCAATGGTTCTCCTTGCAATCTTCAAGGGTTAATGTGAACTGTTCCTATTTTTAGCTGACCTGTCTGTCATTAAGATTTCTTGTGGTGCTGAAGAAAAAACATGTTGCAGCACCTTTGCAGTTGCAGCCTCTCATGTCTACCAGCATGGGGCACTGAGGTGTCTTTCCCGCTCCTCACCCAGTGCCCCAAGCCCTACCTGCACTGGGTCCTCACAGTCTACCCACCTGACTGTGGTTGTTGTCCCCATATCTCCCCATCAGGTTGACACGGTGACAGTTCTTGTACCAGAAAGCACCTTTGTAGGACAGGGCACAGTTGGTGATGGCTGAGTCTGTGTCCTTGTCGTAGGTGGAGAAGGATCGGCCATTGTGGTAGGCCATGGAGTCACCTGAGGGGAAGAGAGGAAGAGGAAAATGAAGGCCCAGCCTTGATCTCAGCTGGAGCTTCCTCTGGGCTGTGAAGGGCAGAACCAGAGGTGACGCTGTGGGGTCTTGGCATGAGATGGCCTGGAGCTCCAGAGTCAAAGTCATGATGAAGGTGGGACTGGCGGGACATGAGTGTACCCCCAGGGCTCCTTTCTGCCAGCGGCGGCATAGTAGGTAGGAAGAATGTGGTAGGTGACTGGAGCATCCAGTTTCGAGTCCCACCTCACCGTCTAGCTGTGACTGTGTGTGAATCGGCCTTCTTGCACCCTCTGTGCTCTCATCTGGCAAATGGGGCCGACATACTGATCCCCTCTGCGCCACAGTGTTGTGTGACAGTGACTTACTCTCTGATCCCCTCTATGTCACAGTACTGTGTGGCAGTGGAGATAAAAGTATTCCCTCAGTAGGTAGAGAGGCATGCAGGGAGGTATTTACGAGTGTTATGTTTATGATTTTTTGCATTCCTTTTACAAAAAAGAGCCCAGAGAATAAGATGAGAGGTTTACAGTTAGCAGTAACATGTGCTAGTTCCACATGTAGAACCAGTGAAGCCCTTCAGGTGTTAGATGGAGCCAAAGCATCTGTGTCACATGGTTATTTTTCAAGATGTTTATCTGACTAATGCTGTCTGATTCTCGTACAAGAAGACCATTTCATGTAAGTTTACTTGGGAATGTAATTTGTAATTTAATGCATGGACCTTCGGAAGCCATTGGGTGCCTTTTCTTTCTGCTGTGCACAGAAATTTCAAGGGGGGAACATTCTACACTGACATTGGCAGCAAGGTGTCAGCCAGGCTCGTGCGGCTTGTTAACCGAGGGTGGTACCCAGAGCATGAAGACTCCAGGTAGTAGCAGGATGCTCTTCTGTGAGGACCCCGCTGCTAGCAAAGCAAAGCGAAATACAGCCTTTCAAGGGCTGTCACATTAAAGGGGAACATGGTGCAGTCCCTCATGGGAAGTGCAGGGAAGAACAGAGGCCACATTCTTGCTGCTCAGTAGATTTTTTTTTGCGTGTAACATTATCCTTCTTGCCAGAAGCCGTCACAACCAGAGGTATTTATTGTCAGGCAATAAGATGTCAGCATTCTTTGAGGCATGCAAGAGCTCAAACAAGTTTCACTCTGGCTGTTCTTCTTCATTCCCACCAAACTGCCATCTTGAAAGAGCTGTGTGCCTCCTTAGACTGACAGAGCTTTTGGCAGCCCTTTATCTGCAGACTTTCTCCTTTCTGGCTATTTTCTTTCAGGGCTCAGGGGACTGGAAATGTGCCATAGCATCTGTCTCTTTGTTTTCATAAGCATGAAAGAAGCCACCCAAAGTGGGCTTGGCTTTGCACAGGGTGGTCTGTTCTCTCAGTCTGATCCCTCCTCGATAAGAAAACCACTGGCTATGCTTCTCAGCAGCCGCTTGCCGCCTGTTGTAACTCCTGCTTCTTGGGCAAGCCACTGAGCCCTTCAGAGCCCGTTTCCTCATATTTATAACCGCATCTTCCTGAAAGATTTGTGTGAGGGCTAAATGAGGATAAAGCAAGCAATACGTCTGCGAAAGACAAAGCTGCCCGCAGACCTTAGTACATATTGTTTCCTTATTTATTTCTCTCCTAATGTGCAGCCAGAAAACCGAACAAAGGCCGTATCAAGTCAAAGAAATTTTCAGAGCTAGAACTGAGACTAGGACCCACACATGGAATGAAAAGGCCACTGGAGAGGCAGTGTGGTAGGCATGCAGGCGGAGGCCGGATGACCATGTGGCAGGAACACCTTAGAAGGCCAGCTAGCACTTAGGTGGTAGAGCAGATTGTTTGTTACTCAAACTGCAGTCCAAGGACCAGCAACATCGAGGCTGTTGATATCACCAGGAAGCTTGTACGAAAGGTGTTCTCAGTCCAGCTTGGACTTCCTGTGTCAGCATCTATGGATTAGCAGTGTCCTCAGGGGATCTTCTACCCACAGTGACAAAGTGCTGGGACTGAGAGTTTTGGGTAACCATTTTTCTATCAGTTTGTAGTGATAGTTACAGCTGATGGCTAGACATGGATGAGAAAAATATATGTGGAATGATCAAAAGTACTATGTTTCAAGTAAAAAACTATTACAATGAAATTGTCATTAATTTAGGGTTAGGGTTAGGGTTGTCACTAATCCTGCCCAAAATACCACATACTATCTCTCACTTTGAACATGCTTATCCCATCCATCTTGGCCATGGGTATGTTACTGTAATAAGTTTAAAAACTTTTCTCAACATGAGCTATACTTTTCAATTGCCCATTTTGTCTTCTGAACAAGGAGTTATAAATCAATCCTGGTCATTCAAATCGCCATGTTTCAGGGACCAAATATTTTCCAGTGTAGTTTCTCTGGATTAGAATTTGACCTAATACTTATTCAAGTATTGGTTGTTTGAGTAAATGGAGGAAGGATTGTTTGTTAAAGGAGTAAAAGGAAGGAAGGAAAGAAGGAAGGATGGAAGGAGGGAGGGAGGGAAGGAAGGAGGGAAGGAAGAAAAGAAGGAAGGAGGGAAGGAAGGAAGGAAAGAAGGAAAAAAGGAAGGAGGGAAGGAAGGAGGGAGGGAGGGAAGGAAAGAAGGAAAGAAGGAAGGAAAGAAGGAAGGAAGGAAGGAAGGAAGGAAGGAAGGCAGGAAGTGGCTGTCCCGTACCTGCTGTCCCACTGTACCCTTCCACCTTCAGCCTGTATCGAGTCTTGGCATCTCCCACATGGAACTTGTCATAAACAGCGTAGGCTGTCTCTCCATGGTCTTGCAGGTCCACACGGAGCTCGTACTGTCCTTGGGCTGTGATTTTGCTTAGGTTGTCCAGCCCTGTGGAGCATAGGAAAGGGTTGCATAAGAAGCGCAGAGATGAGCGAGGCCATCATCGTCTGTTCTACATGGTAAAAGCATCAGCTGGATTCACTTGAAAGAAGATGCATCTCCCAGACATGCTGGGAACTTGTGCTGCTTGTACATCACTGGGCAAGATGTATGGTGTTTCTGAGCCTCAGGTGAAATCAGGTTACCATCATTGCCCTTCTAGCCTCCGACTCCATTGTGAAAATCAGAGACAGTAAAGATGAAAGCACCCTTTAAATTCTGAAAATCAGAGCCAGCCAGATAGCTTTAAAGTGCCTGCTTAGGCAGACACAGGGATGACGGTTTGATCCCTGGCATGCAGTGCTGGCTGGCTCCTGGGCCATGCTGAGACAGTGATTGACACTGGATGTAGTGGCCCACACTTGTAATTGCAGTGCTTGGGAGGCTGAAAACAGGAGAATCACTACAAGTCCAATCTAAATCTCAATACCTAATAAATAAATAAGTAAATAAATAAATTGTGAAAAATCTTTACACAGATTTTTTTTTTTTGGCGGAACTGGGGATTGAACTCAGGCCCTTGCGCTTGCCAGGGAAGCACTTATTCCACTGAGCCACCTCCCCATCCCTTTACACAGATTTTTACAGCCTATAAGACAACAGGCTCAGGCCGTGGTGTATAGAACAGTGCTCTGTGCCAGCAGGTTGCTAGGACATGTGAGTGGCCTGGATGGATGGATGATGGCACGTTAGCACTGATCTGGGAGATTGCTAAATCGCAGCTCAGTGGCTCAGTGGGTAGACCACCAGGGGCAAGGCCCTCAGCCTTTAAGGATCAGCTTCCTCCTGTGTGTGAGGGGAACTTCACACCCTGCAGGGGTGCTCAGAGGGCTAGGAGTGGTGGTTCTGAAGGACCCATCTCATAACTGGAGCACAAAAGGAGCTCAGCATTGCCAGTGAATACAACGCTGTAAGGCCAGGCTAATTCATCAGGCTGATTGTTTGCCTTCAGGTTTCTATTTTAAGCCACCTAAAGCTTTAAATACTCTCTTGTATTGGGATTCAGATAGTCTGGCATATCACCAAGCTCCTGGTAGCAGAGCTCCTCTCTTCTAATCCATTCCTCTCTCTTTAGGCTACTGTGCATAGAACAAAGGCCAGAGGAGATGGGCATTTTGGACACAAGCATTCAAGGCTTCCTTACCAAGCCAGAATTCTTCTCTGCGGTCCCCAAATCCAGCAGCATAGGCCTTCCAGTTTCGATAGAAGTCCTCGTGCCCGTTTTTGCGTCTCAGGAACACCTACAAGCACAAGCAATGCATCTGGCTGTGCCCGAGCTTGAGAAAAAGACAGGGCTTCTTGCTCAGGGGAAGAAACATCAGAGCAGGGAGGAGCTCCCAGCCTTGCTCTGCCCATTGCTCGCTTTCCACGTGACTTCGGGCAGGTCACCTCCTCTCCCTGACACTGAGCCATGCACCGTGCACTCATCTGAGAAGTGGTGTCTGAAAATATTACCCAGCCTCAGGTGATAATGATGTGTCAGTACAGGATCTTCATTTTTAACAAATGCATCACATTTGTAGAATTTTGATAATGAGGGACACTGTGTGGATTGGACATATGGGAATTCTACTTTCCTATTCATTTTCTTGTATACCTAAAATTTATCTAAAAATAAAGTTTATTACTGCCCAGCACATATGGCAATGGAGTTTAAATAGTTCCTGCTAAACCCTCAGAAAGTGCCTGGCAGAGAGTGAAGGTTTGGTCACCACTAATGACTAATTGGTTTGATGACCACTGCCCTTTATACAGAGCTGTTTTGGGAGGATTGGATGAGGTTCATTTGAAGGGAATTACTTCTCATGTTATTTTTCAACCCACAGCTTGTTTCCATTTCCTTGCTTAAAGAGGTCATTCCCAAGTTTCTCTGTATGACAGGGCCTGTCTCATGCAGGCCAGTGTCAGAGTGGACAACCAGGAGGACACTCCTTCCCCTGGTGTGCCCACTCTCCATGTCTGACAATTCTGGAATCCATCCTGATACTCACGATCCAGCCGCCCCCATCAGAGGTCATGTCACAGAAGACTTCCAGAGCCTGGGCCTTGTCATTGTTCAGATAAATGGTGTAGAGGCCAGAGGTCGTGTCTCCATTCAGCATTGCTTGGGAGCAATCCCTGGGGAATGGGTACAGGAGCCCAACTGCAGGGAAAGGAGAATTAGTGGCTCTCAGAGCTGATGGACCAGGCTAGGAGCTTTCAAAGCGCAGTTCAACTGTTTACTGGCTTGAGGCTTATGGGGCAAGCAAAGTCCTGCCTGCTTAGTCCCTCACACTGATGGACCCTGCGAGCGATATGGGCTGCTGTAAAGGTGACATCAGGGACATCCAGTGCTGGCTGCATTTCTAGTACCCAGTGGGTGGGTCTCTGTGGAGCAGAGCATTCTACTGGGGTACAGCCTGCTGGAAACCATGACAAAAGCTTGGTGCTCTGAGCTCCCCAGATAAATGCGTTTCAAACTGAAGTATGGATCTATCTCAGGCTTTTCAGAGAATTGCAAGATAAGAGCCCAAGGCCAGAGGCAGCCACTTGCTTACTGTGTGACACTGGAGGAGCCACTTGACTGTTCATCACCTGGGAATCTTGGCTAACACAGCAATCCTTGGGGAAATTTTCAAGTGTAGTGAAATGATACAGAAATTTTAAAAAATTGACCAAAATGGAAAATTTGGGGGCCATACTTAACAGGTATCCAGAGAACTGGTAGTCATAGCAATTGTTCATTTTCACCTGACAATACCTCCTCACTCTACTTTACCTACATGAGCTGTTTTCTTGTTTATTTCACAGCAGTGGTCAAAAGGGCACACTTGTAGTACATGTTCCCTACAATTTGGAAGAAAGGAACCACTTTCCTTGGCAGACATGTCAGAATGATTGTTGAGGAAGGTGTGAAGGGCCGGAGGCAGCTCCAGACCACGCTGCCCCTACTCATGAACAGATGCGGTTTCTCATAGGTGTAGCAGAACAGTCATTGACCACTTATAGGAGATGCCCCATGTGGGTGCAGGGGAGCCTCCCAAACCCTGAAACACTGGATCCCAACTCCTGAGAGTTCATCTTGATCAGATCATTTGGTCTCTGGAAGCCTCCATTTCCCCACTAAGAAATCAGGCACAATAATCATTATTCACTGTGCCAGGGTGGTGGTAGGACATTTGTTATTTGAACATGGAATGGTTGTGCAAACCCTGCTGTGCTGAAGGAGAAGGGAGGAGATGCTGAGGATGTATTGAGCCTGGCAATATAAGGGTCACATGCACCCAGGAGCTCAAATACAGCACCTCATTAGCCCTTATTAGGCTCTTGTGAGAAAAGGATGTGGACTAGTCCTGTTGTACAAATGAAGAAACTGAGGCTTACAGATCTTTGCTCAGTCTGTTACAGAGAAGAGGACTGAATCCAGATGGAGCCCCACCCTGCTTTTCCTTTCCTCTCACCACGTTGCCCGAATCCTCCTGCACCCACTGTCCTCAGGGCTCCAAGAGTGGCAGGGAGCTGACACTTCAGAGACTTATTTAGAAAATATAACGTAGAAGGCAAAGAGGAAGTAGAGGTTTGATTTAGCCTCATGAAGCTAGACCTTAAGCCCTGCCACTCCCTGGACCTCCTTACTCGTGGTGAAGACAGTCTGGATCAGCTTGCTCCTCAGGGGCCCCCTCAGTGCCTGGATTCTGGCTGTGTAGTGGGTGGATGGGCTCAGGTCTGCCAGGCTGTAGGAGGTGGTGTCGGGACCCATGATGACTTCCTAAGAGCAAAAGAAAATATACAACAGTTTGACCATGCATCTTCTCAGGGCATATGTAGATGGTGCATTCATTTGTTCATTTAATAAGAAGTTAACAAACCACTGAGTCTGAGCCAGACTGTATGCATGCCTGGACTACCAAAGATAGGGCAGTGTGGTGTAAGCAGAGGCCCTGGGGCCAGAAGGGGCAGAGTAAGTGGAGATAAAGAAGACGCAATCCTCTAATTTAAGTGCAGTTGGTTTCAGATGGAGAAGCAATAGAAAAGATAGGAAAAGACAAGATTATGAAGGACCTTAAATATCAAGCCATAAAATTGGAAGCTTATCATTATTAAGAATGGGAAGGTCTGGAAGGTTTTTGAATAGGTGACAATGTAAACCCAGCTCTGCTTTAAAAAAAATTAAATTGGTAGCAAGATGAATAGCACAAGGGGCAAAGGGTTTTGTGACCAGTCAGCTCAGGGGTCCCTAAGCATGGCTCTTTATCACAACCCTCTTGGGAAACTTTGAAACACTATGATGTTGAGGCTTCATCCCAGACTAACTGAACCATCTTGGACAGAAGCGGGGCCTGACTAGGTGCATATGTATTTGTTTAGTCTTTTGAGACAGGGTCTCACTATGCAGTTCAGGCTGGCCTTGAACTCACCTGGTAGCCCCCACTGGTCTTGAACTCACAATTATCATCCCGCCTCAGCCTCCCGAGTGCTGAGTTTATGAGTGTTCACCACCCCTACCTCGTAGGTGCATATTTAACATATTTTAAAAGCTCTCCTGAGGATTCTGATGCAAAGTCAGGATGAGGAACCTCTTCAATCAGGAGATGATTACAATACTTCAATTAATGAGTCATGGGGAAGGCTGAGCTGACCCAGAGTGACTTTTCCAGAACAGATCTCTCCAGTAGAGAGAGACAGGGGACCCACCTAAGTATCTGGCTGGTCCTTGGACTGCTGTCTGGAGGAAAGGATCAGTTTCAGTTAGTTTTCAAGCCCTTCCCCTTGCTGCTAATACTTCTTGTGTAGATGTTATTGATGTGTGAGATTGGAATCCGACCAAACACTCCAGCTCCCTATTACACAAAGCGTGACTGCTGGGCGTAGGCAGAATTGGGAGTTGGTCTAAAGGCCCCTAGAAGGTTTCCTGCCTCCTGGACTATGTTATCCTGGCTTCTAATGGTGAAGCAGTTCCAGAGAAGCTAAGAGACTTGCTCTCATTCTATAATTTGTTGGTGGCACAGGATGGTCTTGTATCTTGGTCTCCCAGCTCCTTATGATGAGGGATTCTTCACTACCGGGTTGATTTTCCTGAGTGAGAAATCTACAGCTGGGGATGGGACATGCAAGAAAAGTAAAGCAGGATGAGTTCCATTTGATCCCAGTGACCTTTGTGCTCCTCTCAGGTCAGGTCTCTGGGGCGAGATCAATTGTTAGTACAAAGCTGGGCTCTCACTGCAGTACTCCAGGATACAGTTACCTATCAGCTTTCTAGGCTGCTAAGCGAAGTTGTCTTCTTGACACCAAGGATAGCCTGGGATGAGACTCACAACTGAGGCACACACAGTCCTCCAAGCCTAAGTGCAAGGGGACCAGAGGCATCTGTAAGTGGATGTGTGAAGGTTGATACCAAGAGGACAAGGGACCCCTTCAGGTCAGGTTGCACTGGGGTAGCAAATTGCATGGCAATGACAGGAATGCCCATGACAGTGACCAGAAACATGCTTCCACTTTTGCTTACACATGACATATTGGATGTGCACATTTACATCTTCTTGTTCCTGATGTTTACTAAAGTGAGAGTAGAGAAATGTAGGGTGTGAATACACAAAGTTGAGGGGACTGAGATAGTGACAGACAGGTTTGTCACATCAATAGAATCGTGGTAGATGCCACTTGAGTGGTGGAGCAACCCCTGAGGAGCCAGATAACAACAGCTGGGGGCTACCTAGTGAGAGTGAGCAGAGCTAGCCCAGCCTGCCTGCTGTCTACCATGCTCATGATGGATGCATACAAAATCAAAGATGCCTTTGATGGCAATGTGGCCCATGGCTAAACTAAGTGAGGTTTGGTGCATTTAAGAGCTTTGTATAGGAAAAAGATTCTCAGATCTCCCCATCTACTTCTGGTCCAGATGGAAGGTAGGTGTTCATTATTTGGAGAGACTAAGAAAGACAGGGGGGCTTGGAATTCAAGTCTACTGGGTTCAGCTGCTAGGTTCAAGCTGGGTGTTACGCTGCCCAGGCTTTGTGATGCTGGTATTTGAGAGGCTCTAACAAAATTGCAAGGCATTTACTGATCTCTCTAGAGTGGATCCCACAATTGGCGAGCCCTGCTGGGCAGGTGGAATTCCAAATCTGTTCTTTCACTCTTTGGTCAAATGGTAAAGGATAAACTAGGATTAATAGATGCTAGTTGGAGTTTCCACTTGAAAAGGAGAGACCAAAACAAAACAATAAAACAGAAAAGAGAAACTGAAAAAATGCCATTCTAGAATGAAATGCCAATAATGTATTTTAGAGATAAAAAGAAAATGATACATGAAATGCAAATAAGATGCTAGAAAAAGATGAATGTACAGAAATAAGTAGAAGATTTTGGAGATACAAAGTAAGATAACCAAAATGAAAAATCCAATAATGTGTGGAAGGTAAGCTTTCAAATATCTTTTTAGTTTTCTGAGGGTCTAAAGTTATTGAAAATTAAAAAGTAAAGGAAAAGCAAGTAAAAAGAAGAAGCTCATGGGGGAGAGAATATAAGTACATCGGACATCGACAGTATTTACAGTCACTGTGGCAAAGACTTGGTGAAATATGTTGTAACACACCATGTAAGGTGTCATGTATGACATAGTATGTAGGCCACATGTGCAGAAAGCTCATGGCCTTTGTTTAGTTTAACTCTAATGAACAAGGGGTCTAGCTCCCACAGTATACCCAAGTCTTCTAAGTAGTGGTTCTTGAAGCTGCAGGCTATAGACCCAGGAGCTGGTTAAAGTGAGAAAGACTATAGTGTATACAACTCAAAGGCTCAGCACTGCATCCGGTCCCTACTAAATTTTGTTTAAACTCTACTACACTGTTCTGGAGAAATAGCACTGGGTGATCCTTCCCTCCTTTGGAGGTCACACAGGTGTTTCATCCAGCAGTGGGGAGTTGTTTATGTACTTTATGATACCTTGAGTGTACCGTCTAGAGATTCGTAAACCAGAAGGTAGCCAGTGACTGATGCCCGTGGAGGGTGCCAGGTGAGGAGGGCAGTTTCAGATTGAACCTCGGTAGCAGTCAAATCTCTTGGAGCATCCAGGTCTGGAGAAGACAGTAAACATCAATAAGTCAGCAAGCATAGGTCAGACAGAATTGGGGGGAGGATGCGTCAGTCCCTTCCATTCCACCAACTGGTGTGATCTTGGGCAAGAGAAAGTTGAACTTGGGCTCTTTGAAGGCAGATTCTCCATGGTTCATCTCTTCCTAAAGGCTGGATTTCCATGAGTCCAGCACAGTTCTGGTTGGCTTTGGGGAGATTTTGTGGAGAAAGGTACGGCTATGGTGATCATTACCAAGGTGACCACTAAACCACCTTGATTATAAATAAGAGGACAGATGAGGGCTACTAACACCATTCTCCCCCATGGGAGGATGTTCTCTCTGATTGCTGTCATTTGTTAAAAAAAATCTCAATGCATAAAACCCCACTGAGATATCTAGAAAAAGTTGCCTGAAAAAAAATCTTCCTTTTCAAATACAGTTCCCTGCCTGGAACACGGATCATTAAATGTTAGGTTTAGGGCCAAAGAGAACTGTTTAACCACTTAAAAATCTCTCCTCTTCAAATCTTTTCCTTGTCTGTTGGGAGAACAAGGTCATTTCAGTTGAAGAGGAAATGGTGGGTGTCTTTGGGTCCTGAGTAGACACTGGTGACTCAGCAGGAGTTGATGTCATTGAACTGCAAGGGGCTGCCCCTTCTGTCCTTCAGATGCAGGCTCTTGGGGGGCACATATTAGGGGGGACAGCTTTCAGCTCTCTATGTCTTTATACCTGTTGTGAACCTGGTAGTGATGCTGGAGCTCTTCTGGGGTCCTTTCTCTGCGAAGATTCTCAGTGTGTATTCTGTGGCAGGCTCGAGGTCAGTAAGAGCATACTCCACTGTGTTCCCGGACACTGTGCGTGTAATTTCTGGCACTAAACATAAAGCACACATACCACGGCTATTACCGACTGCTGTCCAAGCCATCAGTGGACTTGGCAAACAGTGTATATCCCTCCTCCTAACACTTTCAATGACCCTGCAGAGAAGCCTGGTTGATTTCTGAAATGACTCAGACCCTTTTCTCTCTCTTCAGTACTCACCTCATATACAAAGGATCAGTCCTACAGGACTGGATTTTCCAGGCACTGAATCAGAAGGAATAGGAACTGGGGGTTCAGAAGATGTCTTTCTACATGGTGTCCTGACTGGAACAACTTTGTTATTGAGACAAAGTACTGATCTAGCCGAGGGTTGCAGATAACCCTCCCAAGCCTCAGACTCCTTACATTTAATTTGTCTTATGCTTCCCCCAATTCGTGTCTGCATCTATCTAAATTACCATATGTTATCAAATTAAGTATCACAAAATCCTTCAGGCTGAGCATCACAATAGTGATAAATTTCCCAGAACCTGGTACAGCCTCTTGGGCCCACTAGGATCAGTCATGTCCACTGGTAGAAAGTAAGCAACTATGCCTTAGTGAGTGTGTTTATTTTCTAGTCACAGGTGACAAACCATCCAGGCTCATCAAGATTAAAACGGCTTCCCAAGTGTAGAGCTTTTAGTGCTAAAACTGGAAAAACCCCTAGCAAATTGGAACAAGTTGGTGTCATGGCTTGGTTCTTAAATGTTCCTCCAAATCTCCTGTGTGGAAGACTTGGTACCCAGCTCATGGGAATGCTAGGAGTGTTGGAGACTTTACATGATGGGAACTAGGTGAAGAAAGCAGTCAAGGCTAGTAGTTGGGGTGTGTCCTCGGGACTGTGTTAGGATGCTTGCTCTCCATCTCACTCTCTCTTTGCTTCCAGGTTACCTTGAGGTAAGCAGCAGTACAGACCCAGTGACCACAGATCGACAAGTCTGAGCCAGAATAAACCTTTGTCCTCTATTTAATTTGGTTCCCAGGTATTTGTCACAGCAATGGAAAGCTGACTGACACAGTGGTTGCCTTATCTCATCATCTGCAGGCTCCCTTCCTCCCTCCTGGCCCAGGCCTTTCCTTACTTGAGTCCACAATTTCCCTGATTATCATGAACTATCTCCTGATTTACTTTAGGCGACATTGTCTTGTCTGTCTCAGGAAACTTTCCTTGTAGGGATGAGAATTAAAGAGTGAAAAGAATAAATCAAAATTTCCCTGTCCTAACCTCATCTCAACTCTGTTATTACAAAGAAAAATTAGGTCCGTACCAAGGCTCAACCAAAATTGTCATAGACCCCAGGAAAACACTATGATGTCATCTCACGTTGTCACTGAAAACAAGGTACAGTCATAAAACACAAGACCTACATATTCTTGGATATTAAAACAACAAAATTCTTTCCACTGTAGCTCATTATAAAGCTATGGACAGGTTCTTTGAAAAGGTCTCTCTTTTCCTCCTCTCTCTTATTTGTACTGTGTTTTACTTTCCTGTGCCTGTAGCTGGCAGGTGCTCTAAGCAAGTGTTTAACTTGCCAGCTGGGTAAAAGAACACTGGTGGTTGCAAACACAAAGAAAACTAATTTTAGGTTTTTCAATGAAGTTTGCTTCCGCTGGCCCCACTGGTGACTTCTGAGGAGCCAGCACCCCTAGAACCACCTGATGTCATCTAATGGATTCCTCCTTTATGAGAGCCATTCCCTAGCAAGGGAATTTCATACTGCCAGGCAGAGGAACTACTAGGACAGGACAAAAGAGCTTGGAAAGCATGCAGGGTGAGAGATATGTCTCTTAGTTTTTTGCACAGCCTAAAATACTCTGTTAAGGTTGCAAGTGATAATCACAGGAACAGTGCTAACCTTTGTACGTGCCCATGCATTTTGTCATCCAGTGTCCAAAATGTGGCACAAACAAGGGGGAATGGAAAAGGTTAGCAGTGAGACCCACACCCCTTGGGGTGAGCAGAATGCTGGGCTCCACTTTACCTCTCTCCCCTGTGTAGGAGATGATGTAGCTGTCCACAGGGGCTATGGCTGGCTGCCACATGGCCAAGGCTTCAGAGTCTGTGATGTTGGCTGTCACCAGGCTGGATGGGCCGTCCAGGGCTGTAAAGAAAGGTAGTGGGAGAGGAGCTGATCATGCCGTCTACACTCCTGATGAGAGTTGAAGCTGTCAGGTGTCTGAGACGGTTCTGAGTCCTGAGCCTAGCTTTGAATCAGGCCTCTCTCTCATGTTGCCTACGTTCCTCTGAGTCCATTTTCTCACTCTAAAATGAGTATGACGATTCTGCCCAAGTTTTCCTGAGTGTTATTAGGATTTTCACATATTATGGATGGAAATGTGCTGTGTAAAGTGAAAAACTGAACACTTAAGCAAGAGTGTAATCAGAGTTCATGCCCCACATGTGTAGAAGAGACTTACACAGACAGGGGACCCTTGCAGAGCTGAGAGTGCGTGAGGTTCTTTGGGGCTGTGATGATCTCTCTTGTTAGGTGTCTTGCATGTACTTGGAGCCAGGCTCCAGAGGCTAATGGCCATGGGTTTTGCTGTGGCTTCCTTGTCTAGTGCCGTGTACCCTCAGGAAGGTCATTTTTTTTCCTTTGACCTTATTTTCTTCAGTGGTCAAAATGAGTCTGTAGTAAGCATTAACTGGATAGTGTGTGTGAAACCTGACAGGGAAAGCACTCTTGAACCAGGTCATTATTCATACTTCTCCTAAGGTTCTTTGAAGTCTTAAGTGTGATTTTCAAGCACTGTGAACTGAGGAAGCATACTGAAGCGGCACTTATCCCTATCTTTTTAAAACTAGCCACTTCCAATTCCCAGCATCCCTTTCTAGGAAGCAACCTGAATATGGCTACTTCCCTTCTGCCTTCGCACTTCCTACTCAATTGCCTCGTAGCAGCCCTGGAGGTCGAGGGCCACCATCACCAGGGACCTGAGGCTCAGGAGATGACTTAACTGGGTTGGGCAGAGCATGTGGGGAGCTCCCACTGCCCACTCTGAGATCCTTCCTGTCCCATCACAGACATACCGAATCCACTTTAATTGGGGATGGCAATGGAGACTTGGGAAGAAACACACCCAGCGTTTGTGATCTGTTGCTGCAGGGAACCCATGAATGAAAGATTTCTTTAGAAGAATAAGGGCCTGTGTGGTAGGTTGGACAGGATTCTGGCTTCAAATGGGATATTTTAATTGTGTATTATCAACTCTTTTAGGCAATTAGGATATTTTTAACATTTCCTATGAGACTCATTCTTTGGATCTTTAATGGATTGGACTGGATAATTGCTCATATCTCAAAGGATAAATTGTGTAGAGACATGGCTGTCTGAAGAGAAAATTTCCACTTTATTATCCTTCAATGAGATTCATTATTTGATGCTTTAACAGCTTACTGAACAAGTCAGGTCTCAAACAGGGAAATAATTCCCTATTTTAGAAGAACACAGGGGTAGCAGGCAGAATGACCTGTGCTCATATTTGGTTCCAGCATTAGGTAAGTACGAATAGTGGAGCTTAGTAATTTTCCCAAGTCTCAGTTGTTTCCTCTGTAAAATGGGAATCACAGTAATCATAGGGATTACATGAAAAGCACAGCAGCAGTGCCTGGAATGCGGGAGCTGCCAAATAGGGAGTAGCTGCGTAACAGCTATTAGGGTTGTGGGTCTGTGTGGAGCACCTGCTTGGAAAGTCCTCACTGTGGCCCAGGCGCTGGAGGAAGCAAGGAGGTGGCGGGCAATCTTGCACAGCCACTCACGTGTATAGATTCCTACGGCACTCTCTGAGGAGGGAGAATTGAATTCAGTTTACAGAGAATGAAGCTGGAAGTAAAGGAATTCTCAGATGGCTTAGAAAGCTCGTTGACCCACAGTGGGGATTTCAACCCAGGTCAGTGTGAGACTCATTTGAAGCAGTAGGGTTCCCATGGTAGTCCAGGAAGCAGAGGCCCTAGGAGGTTAAGAAGTCTAAGGTCCTTCAGCTCATCGGAGACCAGGGATAGGCTAGGATGAAAACTTTTGGCACTCAAAATCCAATTCACTTTCCACCGGATTTCATAAATAAATTTCACTCCTTGCTGCTGCTGCAATGAAAAACAAAAGAGCAGGAACAAAGGATCTCTGCAAAACCAGGCCCCCGCTCAACGCACCTGTGGTGAACGAGCCTGACACTGGCTCGCTTTCCTCGAAGCCCTTCATGGCCATGACGCTGACGAGGTAGTCCACCCCCGGGATGAGCTGCACCAGCCTGGCCTCCGTGGTGGCCCCATCAACTGTCACCATGGAGGGCATCCCTGGAACACAGAGAAGGCAGTGTCGGTGATAGCCCATCTCATCAGGGCTTGTTTATGGGGTCCCAAGGATGGGTGTGTCTCACTTAGAAATGAAATTACATCTTTCACCAGTGCTATTTCCTTGACTTTTTTTTTTTTTTTTTCATTTTATCCAACTCTCTGGCATGAGGAAAAAGGCCTTACTTTTTGTATAATGCTTTTTCCACTGGTGCAGATGCCAAAAACCAAGCCAGGAGAGGAAAAAAAAATGAAATCACAACATACTAAAAACAGCAAGTTTCCATTCGGTAGAGAGCTGGCATGTTGTGCAAATTTTATTTCCTTTATTATTTTTCCCCCACAAAATATAAGTAAAGCCCCACTATATAATGGGCATTGGAATGACTTATCCATTATCTTTTTTTTTTTTTTTTTTTTTTTGGTGGAACCAGGGATTGAGCTCAGGCCTTTGCGCTTGCCAGGGAAGTGCTTATTCCACTGAGCCATCTCCCAGGCCCCTTATCCAGTATCTTGGTGTAGGGCTATGCAGACTTTCTTACTAGCAGAAAATCTATTTCTAGTAAAAAGATGATCACAGTCAAGTTTGCTGCCTTTATATTTCTAGCAGTTCCAGAATTTGTACATCTTAGACGTTCAGGGGTGGCGAAGAACTGCTGCCTTGGCTGGCCAGACTCTCCCTGGAGCTGCATCAGCATCCTTGTCATCAACTCTCCTCTCCATACACCTCAAATGACCAAGGGCTTACTCCCCCCTAGGAGGGCTTCAGACAGGTTTCACTGTGCTTTTTCCCTGAGGTCTCGATCACAGCCTGTGCCCTGACCTACAATCCACAACGCTGCTGAGGCTCCAGCTCTCCATTCTAGAAGGAGACAGACAGATTTTGGTATCTGAGATCAAAATCTCATACATAGCCAAGAATAGCTTTTAAGATCCATGAGCTCAGGGAACAAAGGATGCTGTATATAGAATCTTTTCTAATTGTGTTTAAAAAAACACTCAGGATGAATTTCTCATAGGACTTTAACATTTCAATGCTGGAAAGGCTCTGCATAAAATGTCCCTTCTCAAGGACAATTCTTTCAAGGATCTACAGGACTTTGCGAACAGGATTTCTTCTGATGGTCTCCAAAATAAGGGAGTAGTGTTGTTTTAGCCCTGCTGTTTGGGGGTAACCAGGGCCTCTCTTATTCCATAACAGAACACTCAAGGACCCCAATTCCTCCCTCCACTCCACAACCCTGAGTCTCCTACCTCCGCTGATAGGTACATAAGTGACCCGGAAGCTCTCCACCTGGGCAGAGGGTGCCTTCCAGCTGACGGTGGCTGTGTTCTCAGTGATGTCTGAGAAGATAAGTTCCTTTGGAGATCCCATGGCTGTCAAGGAGAAAACACAAGAGAAACCCAGATATGGTTAACTATCTTTTCCATCAGTGTTTTTTTCCTGGATCCTGCATCCATGAAAATTTAGTGCCTAGAGTCAATGTCTGAGCCAAGCCTTTAGGATAGAGGAGGCGAGACCTGTGGCCAAGCAGTGATCCTTTCATTCCAGGTACTGGGCACAGGGCTGTTGTGCAGTCATTTGATTCCACTAAGGGGAGTGTTCTCACCTCAGTTGGCTTCTAAGGAAGCAAGAGAGAGTGGTTTCACAGATCTGAATGTGTTCCCTTTTTAGTTTGATTTTGATTTGAGCACTTTTTCAAATCTCTGCATTCTAGCTCCTTTCACTAAACAATGCCAAGACTTGACAAATGCACCGTTACTATGCAGTCCAGAAGGTGTAATCCTCACACAGAAACCCCTGGAAGAAAACGTGATTATGGACCTTGAACAGAAAGCCCAGGTGAGGCTATGTTCTTCAGCTAACACTCTTGGGATGGGACCTTTCTAGGTCATGGGACAGGGCAGCTGAGCCACATACATCCTGGGCTTGTGGAAGTGCACACAGACACTGACCATGACAACTCACTGCTGGGACCGAAAGGAAGCCAACAGCCAGGGAGCGACCAGAGGCCACTCCCCAAAGTGAACCCCCACTGAGCACTGGGTCTACCTGCAAGGAAACTCACGGGATCTTTCTGCTCCTGATGTTTCCTACTCCAAGCCACTTTCCTCATGTTTTTTTCTGTGTATTTTGGCTAAGCCTACTGCCCACTGCAGTCACCCATGTTTAGACAGGGAATTCAGGAAACTATTTTCATGCTCTAAGACAGCTCATTTCCTCACCTAGTCCTTTCTTCAACCCGCATTGGTCATTAAGTTAGGAAACGCACAGAAATTTAGGGACAGCACTTTTTTCTCCTCCTGCCCATTTGTCTCTTTCCCCTCATCCAAGGCATTTATGTTCTCCTACAGCTTTCTTCTTTGACCTGTGGACCACTCCCAGACTCTGGCTGCCTGTTTTTTTTTTTTCTCCTTTTGTCTATGGAAAGTTCTGGAAACCGCAAGGTCTCAGGAGCCTGCAAGATCTTGATGGTCCGAATACCACTGGGAGGCTGGGCAGCCTGGGGCAAGTCTCTTCACTTCTGTGAACTTTAGTCACTCTATCTGTCCACTGGGGAAACAGCAGTGCTCACCCACAGGAATGTTTTGAGGATTAGCACAGATAATGGCATGGCGTCTGGCACATACAACGCAGCAAACACAAGTGCTCTCTTTCTTTATTTTCTTTTTCATGTGGCCTTTTGTCTGTGGGCATCCCTGGATTTTAAGGTACACTTTGGAAAGATCTAGCTGGTTCGAGCTCTGTAAAAACCCCATGAGGTCCATAAAGTCAGGCCCATAGGATCCCCCTTTGTCTGCCTGGTTTACTCTGACTTTTGCTCTGCCTCAAAATCTTGCTGGTGTAGGTCTTGGAACATTTTACAAGTTGTGTCTTTTTTCTCTGGTCCTTGATTTTCTTACTTAGAAGATGATGATCATAACTTTCCTTTCTTCTACATCCTAAGAACTCGTGGCTCCATCCACCACCCACTTGAGGGATTTGCATGGTAAAAGGGGAAGTAGGGAGAAGACTCTGTAGACCTAAAGAAAAAGTATTATGGTAGAAATCCAGCAAGAGTGGAGCTTCCCTTGTGATTTTAGCTTGTTTCCTTTTGCCATGAATGGTTCCTTTAAGCTTCCAGCCCTACAGCAGATGGCAGTGGAAATACCTGAATCACATGCATTGAGAAGTCGGGGAGACCCAAGTCATGCTTCTCGTGTCTTCCAAAGGATTCTATTTTTTAACTTTCACTAGGGAAATATCTGGAATTACTAAAACCTTTCAAGAAAGTTAAAAGGGACATCTATCTTCTCTCTATAAATTTACCACCCCAAATCTATAGCAAATGCTTTTCATTATAAGGCAATTAAAAAATTTTTTAAAACTTCCCCTCTCAGCATAGTTTTATTTAACATGTAATGGGTGTTAGTTCCTGTGCTGAATTCAGCATTGGATGCTATACAGTATGATTTAAAGAAGGAATTCTGATATGAACTACCTTGGTTGTGGCTTTTATCCTGGCACTACTATCTACAAAAGCTGCAACTTACTGGGTCTCAGTTTTCACATATGTTAAATGTATTTAATGTGGCATCCCCTTTGTCTACCTGAGTCTTGAAGATTCAAGGAGATCCCTGGCTGCATGAGGTACAACAAAGTACGCACTCGTCATTGGTGGCATCATTTTTATGGTACATTGAAGAAGGTACAGATCTGAACCAGCTCTGTTGAGCACTAAGAGTCTGGGTCCTATGGAAGGGAGGATTGCCAAGCAGCTGTTTCAGCAGACTTACTGCCCTAGGCCCCAGGACAATGTGATATAACTCTGGGGCATGGCTTCAAGTTCAACTGGACTGGATCAGCACTGAAAGCTGAGAGAGTGGGGCAGAGTGGGAGAGCGGGCTTCTTCTGGGATGGAGGAGAAGAGGTGCTAACTACCCCACTGGCCTTAGGGCTGGGAGAGAGTTCTGGAATGTTTATGCAGAGGGGGTGGTGGTGGTGGCATGGGGAACAGGACAGAACAGTTCTGAGTCGTCACTTAGGGCTATAGAAGGCTCCAGAAGAAGAATGTGAGATCATCTTACCCAGCTGCCAGGATTTCTCTCTTATTTCCTGCAGACTCTATTGGCCCTGAAGACAGTGCCCAGAGATCGGTTGGCATTGAACTCCATGCAGGAGACAGGATCTTCTCTTTAAGGGAGACCAAGACTATTGAAGGGAGGTGGGTCTAACCACAAAGGGGGAGGAGGCCACTGTAAGCTCAGGAATGGCAGACAAAAGCAATGACACCAGTGATAGCCCAGGCGCCTGTCAGGAAGAAGAAGGCTAAATGGGCCATGTATATAGGGTCGTCTCCAAGCACTATTAATAAGCAGAAAACACACATAATGTGCATGCGTGTACACACACACACACACACATACAGAGAGAGAGAGAGAGCGAGAGAGCGAGAGAGCGAGAGAGCGAGAGAGCGAGAGCGAGAGAGAGAGAGAGAGAGAGAGAGAGAGAGAGAGAGAAAGAATGAGAATATGTTGAACACTGTGTTCTTCAAAAAAGTAAAAAGGAATTAAACTTAGGTTGGGTTTTATCTATTTCTGGAGGAACAAGAGGTGATGGTGTTAATTGCCTCTAGTTAGAGCCATTGGGTACAGCAACACAGCTAAATAGAGACTCAAGTGTGCATCATTTTTTTAACTTCTGATTATTGGACCAAGGGGCCCATTAAAAGTGAAATTTACATTAACTCCACAAACATAGCAATACTAATACTGTTACTATGGACAGGGACATTCTGTTAGATGCTCGATAAGCATGATCATATTTTAACTTCATGGCTGATACTGAGTTCAATTCTGTTTTTCATGAGGAAATTTAAGTTCAGAGAGGAGAAAAGAATTCCTTAAGAGCTGGCCAGAGGGATACTGACGTATTCACCAGTTTGCCCAGAGCCTGCTGGTTAACTAACCACTAGGATACACTCTTTCGTCTACTGCTCTAGGTGTTCAGCATGGACAGGTTGTGCTTGGAAGAAATGCTTTTTAAGAAGGAGTTGCAGCATCTCTTTGTCAGAAGGAAGAGAGACAGAGGACCACAGTGGTGGGGGAGAGATGGGAGAGGACAGGTGAAAGAATGAACAGACAGGAAGGAACATTCAGAGCTGCTGAGGTGAGCGTGGATGCTAGACATCCGCTATACTGAAGTGTTTCCCCTGCCCTTTCCCGGTCCTGGAGCACGGGAGTGCAGATGCACATGGGTCCATGAACAGCATACACATACACAGCTCTCTCTCTCTCTCTCTCTCTCTCTCTCTCTCTCTCTCTCTCTCTCTGCCTCTCTCTGTCTCTCTGTGTGTCTCTGTCTCTGTCATTGTCTTTTTCTCTCTTTTCTGTTTGTCTCTCTCTGTCTCTCTCTCTGTCTCTTTCTCTCTCTCTCTGTGTCTCTGTCTCTCTCTGTCTCTCTCT